TCCTTTTCTATGAGGAACAGAGTCAAATTGGTTAGGGATCCTCTTAATTATCTTAACTAGATCATTTGCAAGGACCCTATTTCCAAATACGTCATATTTACAGGTATCAGGGTATTAGAACTTCTTTTTGGGGACACAGTTCACCCATAACTGCAGGTTTGGGTTATATTTCAGAGCGTTAAATTCATTGTTTAGTAGGTTAAACTTCTTTTAATAACTGGTGAGTCATTAAAACTTTTTGTGCCAGGAAGTAATAGTTCTGATAGCCCTCCAAAGTGAGGGCAAATAGAAGACTATTACTATTGTTACAATATAAAATAGCTGTCACTAACTGAATATTTACTCTGTGTCTGGCACTGTGTACATCTTTATTTAATTTTCAAGGGACTTTGTGAGGTATAAATATTATAATCTTTTAAATATGAAGACACTGAGGTTTAGAGAGAAAACAGGGGGAGAACAGGAGGGATACTGATTATTGTTCCATTTAGGCTGAGTGCTTTTGGTTTCAGGCCTGTAATTCTAGCACTTTGGGAGGCTAAGGAGGGAGAATTGCTTGAGGCCAGGATTGGAGACCAGTTTAGGTAACATAGCGAGACCCATCTCTAAAAAAAATCCAGTAATTTATTCCATTAGACATGTTAAGCTTGGCTGAATATTCCTGTGGTGATGCTAAGTTGGTAGTTAAATTTGGTTAAAAAAAAATTTTGGTTCAGATGATGGGTCAGAGTGGAGGACAAATAATTTGTAATCATCAGCATAGAGGTGCTGTTTGAAACCGTAAGAATGGGTGGGCTTGGATGAGAAGGTAGTATAGAGTTAAAAAGAAAAGAGATGCTGAGGACAGAGCCTAAGTTGGCTAGATTTGAGTCACTAGAGATGAAAGAGAGGAGATGCTGAGAAGTATAATGGTAGAAAGAGAAAGTTGGAGGAAAGAATTTTAAAGTCAGGGTGATAGTTCAATGTGTAAAAGTTTGCAGAGAGATAATAGAGAATGAAACCTGAAATAGAATTTGGTCATTATTGACATGTTGAGAGTATAGTTTCAGTGAGGTAGTGGAATCCAGATTACAAAGTATATGTAGATGAATCAGGGAGTTAGACTATCCATTTGAGAACTGTATACAGGTATAAAAGGTAAAGATCAGTTAAAAGAAGAACAATTGAATTTCTTTAATAGAAAATGATTTTAACTTTTTATGGTCAAAGGGAAGGAACCATTGAAATATTAAAATAAAACAAAATCCAAATAAGATATCAAGAGAAAAGAATAGGCCAGAATCCTAACTGGTGGGGAAAGAGTGTAGATAAAGATATTAGCTTTGTACAGAATTTTAGTCCTCAAGTATTTCATGATATAGAAAGTTTGATTTATTTCATATTGTTCAGGTGGGGCTGGGGAGTTCCCAGTATAAAACAATGTCAGATTAATTTTGCTATTAAAAATACTATTAGATTTCAGAGGAAGGAAGGAATTTATAAGACCCTTGGATTATATATAAACAAAATATTCACTTCTTGGGTCAACACTAGTTCAAATGCCACTTCCGATGTTGCTTTCTGATTTCTAATGTTGGAGAACTTAATAATCTTCACATATTTCAAGCTTCTCATTAACAGCTATTTATAGCTAGATGGTACTGGCTATAGGCTGTGGTTGTAAAGCTGAGCAAGAAGCATAGAGGATTCAACTGTTATTGTATCCCATTTGTAGGAAAGAATTTTTGTAATGTTAAAAAGTGGGACTTATGTTTTGCCTTATACAGGTAGGAATTCATTATTAATCAGCATATACTTTTTCCTTTTATTTTTTATTAAATTTTAAAATTTCTTTCATTTTTATTTTTTTTTTATTTTAGTAATTATTCCTTCTTCGCTAAGCATATATATTTTTTATTTTAAAAAGTTCTTGGCCGGGCGCGGTGGCTCACGCCTGTAATCTAGCTCTCTGGGAGGCCGAGGCGGGCGGATGGCTCGAGGTCAGGAGTTCAAACCAGCCTGAGCAAGAGCGAGACCCCGCTCCTACTATAAATAGAAAGAAATTAATTGGCCAACTGATATATATATAAAAAAAAATTAGCCGGGCATGGTGGCGCATGCCTGTAGTCCAGCTACTCGGGAGGCTGAGGCAGAAGGATCGCTCAAGCCCAGGAGTTTGAGGTTGCTGTGAGCGAGGCTGACGCCACGGCACTCACTCTAGCCTGGACAACAAAGCGAGACTCTGTCTCAAAAAAAAAAAAAAAAAAAAGTTCTTACAGTATCTTAAGGCAGGTGTGCAAGCATGTGCCTGTAATCCCAGCTAGTCTTAGAGGCTGAGGTGGGAGGATCACTTGAGCCCTAGAGTTTGAGGTCAGGCTGGGCAACATAGTGAGATTTGTCTCTGAAAACAAAAGCCAGAAAACATAGCCAGAGAACTGGACACATAAAAACACACTCTGAATTTTTCTGTATTTTTTTGTAATTAAATTTTTTTGATGAAATATTTCATACAAAATGAAGAGTAATTAGGTCTATAAAAATCTATATGTACATTATAGAATAAAAAAATACACATTACCTATCACTCAGATAAGAAATGGAAATTACTAGTATTTTAGAACACTAGTGTGCCCTCTCTTATATCACCATTCCTGTCTCCAGAGTGCCATTATCCTGACCTATGTATGTACTATCACTCCTTTAGTTTTCTTGATAGTTTTATGATCTATGGAAATATTCATGAACACTATATTGTTTATCTTGAAAAATGAATAATGTGCCAAGCTAATTGAGTTAGGAAAGGGTTATCATAGATGAATGCTTCCTGGATTTGCATTAATTAATTAATGCTAGCATTAATTAACCTGGATTAATAGTCTGGTTCAGATCTGCTGAGTTTCAAGGGCTTCTCTTTAGGAAATTAGTGAGCAAAGTCATGGGTTAGTTCTTGGTAACATATTGCAAATCCTGGCCAGGTATCCGGCAGTGGTACAGTATGGGCCAGGTATCACATATTTGTTCAGCAGGTATATGGTCACATAAAGAGAGTACTGTTTCATATTTTTTGTTTCTAAGCTCATGGTGCTCTTCCTCCAGCATATAGTAGATTAAAATGGAGTACATCTGGAAAGTGAAATGAATGTTCTCATCTGGTCCAGGCAGCAGGGCAAGGTGGAGTGAGTTGATACATCAAGGCAAGCCAAGTATGGATAAACATCTGGAACAGGCTGAACTGGGCATTTTGTCCTTAAGAACAATGTCAGTGGTAATCGTGGTGATGATAGCTCGTCATGCTGTGTCAGGAGTCACACTGCTATCTTCTGGACTGGTTGCCCGTTAAATGTGGTGCACAGCTAGCATCCTGGCATCTCTCTTCACAGTCTTCCTGAAGATACCTATTATTTCTCTCCTATGTTGGATCTCCTATATCCTAATTAGTTGTTGTCTTTTTTTTTTTTCTTTTTAACCTTATTCTCTTTTTGATGGGATGAACTCTTAAGTTGCTTTTTAGGAAGGATGCATAGAAGATAAATATTTTGAAGTCTTTCATATCGGAGAAACTATCTTTATTCCACTTTCATAAGATGGTTTGGGTGAAAAATTCTTGGATGGAAATAATTTTCCGTCATAATTTTGAAGGAGTATCCTCCATTGTCATATTCCTTCTGGTATAACTGTTGAGATTACTGAAGTCTGTGTCCTGCTTCTTTGGATGTGACCTGTATTTTCTTTCTTGAAGCTTGTAGAATCTTCTTTTTGTCGTCAGTATTATGATATTTCACACCTCATTTTAGGTCTTTTAATTTTAATTTTTTGTACTAGACACTTTGTGGATCCTTTCAAATGAACAGCTTTTATCCTTCTGCTTTAGAAAATCATCTTGATTTACTTCTTTGATTTCTTTCCAAACATTTTTTCCCCCTTTTTCCTTCTGTTTGCTTTTTGTGGAACTCCTATTATAATGGGCCTCCTGCACTGATCCTCTAATATTGCCATCTTTTATCTCCTATTTTCTATTGATTTATCTTTTTTTCTCTGGTTCCTGAAGATTGCCTCAATTTTATGTTCCAAGCCTTTATTTCTTCATTTCAGCATCTTGTTTTTCAGGAACTCCTTATCTGTATTTTTAAATGTTCTTTATTAAATTGCATTCTGTTTTTATTTTATGGATATGATATATTATCTCTGTGTAGAATATGAAAATGGATATGCATATATTCTGTGTTAGAGGCTTTTGCTTGGATGTCTAGTAATATTTGTCTGCTCATGATTAAAAGTGGGGAATTAAAAAGTTGATTGGAAATTCTGTTTTTGGTACAATATGATGCTGTTGGTTTTCCCTCTCCAGAAAGTAACTCCATTCTTCTGTTGAGGTGGAGGAGGTCTAGTTGTCTAGCATCATGGAGAGAGGATCTAGGGATCAAAGTGCTTTCTAAACAGCTTTCATGGAATCTTCTTAGTTTTAAATACCCTCCTCTTTCCCTACCATTGTTGCTTCTCCATTTCCAAAAGTAATTATTGCTTTCTGTAGATTCTGCACTGTACTGTGTTGTTGTTTCTCAGCTTTCTTTTGCTTACCAGGCTATAATTTGGCTTTCCAGGGTCTGCTAAACCACTTAATACTCATCCATCCATTTTCAGTCTTATAAGATTTTGTACTTGTCTCTTCTTGTTTGTTCCTCTTATCTCTTCTCCTTGTGGGTTTAGGTATTAAATAAAGTCTTTTACTGCTGTTATAATGGGCTTTGATGAGAGAATGAAATTATATGCATGTTTTTAATCTATCTGAATCCTAAAGCCCTTATTAAAAATGTTTAACCTATGTCTCACTTCTTGAGACTTGAAAGGATTATTAAAGTTAGCCCTTTTCATCTCTTTTTGTAGTTTTTACATTCATATTTATAATATATGAAACTCATTTTGTAGACTACTTGAGACTGTATGAATTCAAGGATTTATAAGTGAATCTAGAATTTGTGAATATTATAAAGGTTGATTGTTTTTTAAATTTGCTCTTGTAGGAAAGTGAAAAGGTTTCTGAATATCCAGCAGTGATTGTGGAGCCAGTTCCAAGTGCCAGATTAGAGCAGGGCTATGCAGCCCAGGTTCTGGTTTATGATGATGAGACTTATATGATGCAAGATGTGGCAGAAGAACAAGAAGTTGAGACCGAGAATGTGGAAACAGGTAGACATCTCATAAAATGTTCATTATTTATAACTTTCATTTTGTAAGCTTCAAAAGTACTATTGCCAGATGAATAATATTAATATAACGAAGAACCTTTTTAAAATGCGATTTAGTATAGCTTGGAAATCAGTGAAACATCTCTGTTTAAGGGAATTTATATAGATATAACAGAGTTCTACAGTATAATTCTTTGAACCCTACACACAAAATTACAGTTCTATAATGCTAAAATTATTTATTATTTTTTTCTGGGAGTACAAATATTTAGTAGTTGTTATTAGCTCATAGAAGTCAATAGGCAAGTAGTTATAGTTATGAGGATAACTTTTTAATTCAAAAAATAAATATGGAGGCTGGGTGCAATGGCTCATGCCTGTAATCCTAGCACTTTGGTAGGCCAAGGTGGGAGGATTGCTTGAGGCCAGGAGTTCAAGACCAGCCTGGGCAACAGTGAGACACCTTCACTACAGAAAATAAAAGAAAAATTAGCCAGGCATGGTGGTATGTGCGTGTATTTCCAGCTACTTGGGAGGCTGAGGCAGGAGGATCGTTTGAGCTCAGGAGTTTGAGGTTGCAGTGAGCTATGATGATACCACTGTACTCTAGCCTGGGTGACAGAGTGAGAGAGACCCTATCTCAAAAAAAAAGAAAAAAAGGTATTGTCATTCTGTAACTGATTATGAGTTTCTTTGAATTAATATCGATGGATCAGTTTTTGTTGTTGTTGTTAGGTTAGAAGCATCTTTGTAGTAGTATACTAGATTCCTATTCCCATTTACCTTCTTAGAAACCTTAGTATTTCAGTGTATGTGTGATGAAATAGCTATATGTTGAATTAGGGATTAGTATGTATAATTCTTTGAGAAATCTTTTAGTTTTTGCTATTGACAATAAAGAAAATAGTGTATTTTATCAGAAGGATTGTAGTGACTATTATATAATAATAAACACAAACATTTATCATTAGCTATTAATGGACAATAGGACTCCTTGTACTTGTTTAACACTAGTAAAATTTATTAAATATTTAGATACATTTCTATAACTGTAACAAACTCTAATGATTAAAAAGTTTGGGTATGTGATGTCTTTCTGCTAAGTGAGGTGCAGTATCACTCCCTAGGCCTACTAGCTTTTTTCACCTTAAAGCTATTCTTCCTCCAGTTTTATTTTTTGTTGAGCTAAGGGGTTAGAAGTTACCTTGCTTTTCAGTGCAGTGATGATTGCTGTGCCAATCAAGTAGAATCAATTCATTTATCAAAATAGGCAGCCAAGCTGGGTGCAGTGGTATGTGTGTGTGCTTCATGGCCCTATTCAATTAAGCTCTGTATTCTTAATTTACTGCTAGCTGTGTGCCCATAATCCCAGCTCCTTGGGAGGCTGAGGCAGGAGGATCGATTGAGGCCAGGAGTTCAAATCCCACCAGGGTAACATAGCAAGACCTTGTTTCTAAGAAATAAACAACAACAACAGCAAAAAACAGGCAGCCAAGCTCTTATGGGCTTCATGACTATGGTCTGGAGTAGTACCCGATTTATAGTAGATAATGCATGTCTTTTCATGAGACTTTGGAGAGTTTTTCACTCTGAAGCTAGAAGTATAGTAGCAGATGTGAATTTTCTTCTTGAGAAAAAGGATAAGTGGAACCATTAAAAGCATTATTATTTGGTATGATATTTAGGGGTATATATCATTACTGATTTTATTACAGTAGTGTAACTAAACAGAACACTAATAGCACAAGGAAGAAAGGTATGATAGCTTAAGTTGAATGAGAAGAAGTAGAACCTCTGTGAAATGTCTAGATGATGTTTTACTAAAAAGGGGAAAACATGATTTTAGTATCAAATTGGAAACTTGAAAAGATGAAAACTATGCCAAATTTGCATAAGTAGATAAATTGGGATATTTATCAGCCAAATATTATTAGTTGTATAATTGACTATAAATGTTTCATTAATTTAGATTAATTCAGGTAAAAACAATTTTGAATAGGAAGTAAATGTAATCCACTTAAGGGATTTTATTTTCTTAGTCTTATTGAACTCTGAGGATAATGATATCATTTGCAGGGCAGTGATATTAGTGATTGTGATATTCAGAAAGAGGATATGGGAAGTCTGAGTAAAAGAACAATTACTTTCGTGATTTTTGTGTAAGTTGTTTTTGAATACTTAATAATTATTTTTAGATTTACTTTTCTTTAACACTAAAAGGAAATGTTATCAAATCACTTATGTTGTTGTAAAATAGTATAAAATTACCTCAGAAGTTCCTCTTACATATTTATTCTGGATCATGAATTAACGTAATTGTATAAGGATTTAATATTCATAGATTAGTTTTAAAGTCAGCTGATCTGTGCTTAATTTTTTCTGTTTAAAGAATCAAATGAGGCCGGGCGCAGTGGCTCACGCCTGTAATCCTAGCACTCTGGGAGGCCGAGGTGGGCGGATTGCTCCAGTCAGGAGTTCGAAACCAGCCTGAGCAAGAGCAAGACCCCCATCTCTACTATAAATAGAAAGAAATTAATTGGCTAACTAATATATATAGAAAAAATTAGCCGGGCATGGTGGTGCATGCCTGTAGTCCCAGCTACTTGGGAGGCTGAGGCAGCTGAATTGCTTGAGCCCAGGAGTTGGAGGTTGCTGTGAGCTAGGCTGAGGCCACGGCACTCACTCTAGCCTGGGCAACAAAGTGAGACTCTGTCTCAAAAAAAAAGAATTAAACGAGGTCAGGCATGGTGGCTTATGCCTGTAATCCTAGCACTCTGGGAGGCCGAGGCAGGAGGATTGCTCAAGGTCAGGAGTTCAAGACCAGCCTGAGCAAGAGTGAGACCCCGTCTCTATTAAAAATAGAAATAAATTATCTGGACAACTAAAAAAATATATATTTTATATATATGTGTGTATATATATATATGTATATATATATATATATAAATTAGGTGGGCATGGTGGCCCATGCCTGTAGTCCCAGCTACTCAGGAGACTGAGGCAGGAGGATTGCTTGAGCCCAGGACTTTGAGATTGTTGTGAGCTAGGCTGACGCCACAGCACTCTAGCTTGGGCAACAGAGCCAGACTCTGTTTCAAAAAAAAAATCAAATGCATTTTAAGTGAGTTAAAATCTGAATAAATTTTCATTTTTCTGACATCTAGCGCATTTACAGATGAATAAAGTTTGTTAAGACTTATCCTAATGCATGTTTCCTTTTAGGTAGTGGATTAGGATCAGGTTTAGTTCTTGTGGTGATATAAATTTGTAACTTAAATTTCATATACATGTAGGTTTTGGAGAAGAAGCTGACCAGGAAGAAAAGGAAAGGGATATTTATAAAATGTCAGTTTTTATTTGGTGAATGGGGGGAGTTCAGATCTGTATAGAATAAGATTTCGTTGTGTACATCTAGGAAACACTTCCTAGGATACTCGTACATTATAATTTAGATTATATCAACCTAAAAATTTTTCATAATTTATTGACCTGTTATGTCATTTCTCTGCATGTTCATATTGAAATTTTTTTTCTTTTATTCCTATATTTTCTTTTGTGTATATTCATACCAGAAACAGTGTTCCCATTGTCATACAGGTAGGAGTACTGAAATCATATAATGATGATTTACGTCTAGCCATCTTTATTATTTTGTGAATAAAATGATTTATTTTGTTAGTATAAATCGTGGGCTATTTGTTTCATTTTTTTATAGACTAAAAAGTCTATATTTCCCTCGGCTTATGTGTAATACTAATGCTCTCTTACATTTTATAGGAAAAACCAAATATACTTTAAAACTTTCAAAATAGGCATATTGATCTAAACGTATAATAAATAGCTTGTGATTATAACTGGAGATCATAAAGAACCTTTGAGGAATAGTGATGAAATAAGGATGAAGGGTGGTCTTGACTCTGGTAGGCATGATTCCCTCCAGTGGCTGCAGACTCCAGCAGTTCTGGGAGTCTACTGGGTAGACTGACACAGTGAGTGGGGAGGGGGGAAGGAGAGGAGTTTATTGGGTTCCCTATAGATAATAAAAAATTTAAAAGTTGTTACAAGTTACTATTTATGAAGTAGTAAGTTTATACCAATGAACTCAATCGTAGATAAGTTATTACAGAAATCTTTTAAGATTTAAATCTTAAATTTTAATCTTTAAATTTTAAGATTTAAATCTTACTAAGATTGAGCTAAGATTTGCTCTTCATCTTTCATCTTAATAGATACCTCTTACTATATTTATCCTCTTAACTTTGTACTGTAGTTTATGAGAAGATATCATGTTTGCATTTGTTATGTGCAAGGCACTGTTTTCAACATGTTTCTTTCAAGGAGTTAATAATTTATTTGTGGAGATAAAATATATGTTATATTCAAAATACAAAGCAGTAAAAAGTCAAATGAATGTTATTTACAAATTCAAAGGAATTTTCAGAAGAGGAAATTTCAATTTCATTGTCATACAATAGGAATTTAAGGTTGTGAGGAATACATAAAATCAATATATAAAGCACAGTGTTTTGACACAGTAAGTGTTCTCTTAACTTCATTAGCACTTTTCCTTGTGCCTTCAAATATGGACGACTTTTTATATGTTAAAAAGAGCATTTGTTTAACATCATTTACGTCTCTTGTATTTTTCCTATTCCTTTCACTTCTTTAAAAAAACAAACAAAAAAACAAATGCTTTCTGCCTTCAGTTTATGTAATACCTTTTCTTTGTCATTTTTTCCTCAACTCTGGCATCTGCATTTATCCTGCTACCGAAGCCCTATCAGAAAGGCCACTCCTCCGCCAAATTCAGTGACCCATAGAATCATCCAAAAGGAGATCCTTTGTAATCTGGTCTTCTTATCTGTTGAAACATTGCATTCTCCTAGTTGTTTTCCTACTGTCCTTTGCATGGACTGTGCTATTTATGCTTCTGAGCTTTTGCTCAGTTTCCTCTGCCCATTATGTGCTTAGGTATCAATATGAGCCATTCTTTAAGGTCAA